TGCAGAAGGCTTGTGATGTTCAAAACATTCCCTACTAAAAACCACAAACTTGTGAAGCTTCTGATCGACATGGCGCTGTGGAACTCTGCATTAAGGGTTTATTTTCCAGAAATTTACTTATGTTAGGATCATAGCATATGAATGAATGTAGGTTGATAATTAAGTGTAAGGAAAATAAAAACTTTAACCAACCAGAAATCAAAAAAATGAAGCAAACAGTAGCTCACAGTTACCAGTTCAACATATACTCAGTCAAAATTGAAGCAATAGTTAATCATAAATGAAGCAAACAGCAGCTCACGTGTACCACCTCAAATTATATGATGTGCAGCAAAGACAAAAATGCAACATATTTCACGTTCTTTAAGCAGCATCTGTATGACTATATTCATCATTTAAGGGATTTTTACTTGAATGACCTCTAAGACTTTGATTATAACAAGCTAACCATCTTTTCTATTATATCTCACACCAGCCCTCCTGAAACCATTGAATCCCTCTTGAAGTATACCAATACGAAAACAACACAAATAACATTGATTTTTATCACCAAATGGTCTGTCAAACAACAGTTGCAGAATTTACAGTATCATGCATTTGATGAAACAACTTAACAGTGTAAACCACTGATAAGTATCAACAAATGATATCAGCCCACAACAAATGACCCCAAACCACCATCAAGTATCTACAAATGAACCTGAATGCCTTGAATTAGCATGATTCCCCTTCATAATGTTGACTGTGGTTGCCCGAGAAGCTCGAGGCCATCCAAACATGTCGCACATTACCATATAAAATATATAGATCATACAAAATAACCAACAATAAGGCACATTATGTTTAAAGTATGATAAAAAATTTTGATAACCGGACTTGCATCTCAAAGCATTGTCCATCCCCTAAAACTCACATAACTTCTCCAGTATAATATCATAATTTAGCAGATAGTACAATTGTCCGAGATTTGCCTAATTAACTTAAAAACATGAAAAGTTAAGCAAATTAAATTCAAACGTATAAGTTTTAATTGAACTTTAAAATACAAAAAACCAATATGTTTTCAAAATGATAATTCAACATATAAAATATGATAAGTCAGTGACATAAGAGTGACAATAAAGGAATAAGAGGATTATGGTTGGTTTTTAACCACCAAGGCTCAACTATGGTCTTGTCACCAAGCCAATAAGAGTTTTGTTATATATAAAGTTTTAAGGAATTGCCAGGTGAAAACACCAAAGTTTTATTTTCTATAATCATGCTAAAAGTTTTTTTGGAGTGAAGATCTGCTCATCGGAGGTACATTGAAGGTCTCCTGATCTTGAAGCAGGGAACATGCACAGACCTATGGGGGAAAGAGATGGAATATCTTTGAAATCACCTGCGACAAGAAATGGATGAAATAAAAATGTTGTTGTGCAAGTCCCCCTTGTGTGCTATTCTCTAGGAATGTCTTTCTGAATAATTATTTTTCCATTGTTGTTGTTTGTATTCTTGTTGATGATAATGTTCATGCTCACCGTATTTTCTGGAATGTTGAATTTAAATTTGTTATGTAAACCATGTCCAAGGCATACAACAGAAGGACCGAGTGAGAGAAAAAGAGCTAGAGAAAGAGAAAGGAAAAGTGACACTGTGATTGCCCCCAGTGGGGCAAAGTGATGGTGTTCCCCAGATTCTCAGACCCATTTTATATATTACATGAATTTGTTACAAGAGAATGGAAGAGTAATTTTTAAATGATTGTGTGAAAAATATTTACAAATGAACCTCCTTCGCCCTTTATTGGAAAAATATTTTCCTTCGCCCTTTATATGAAAAATATTTTCTTATTTATTGATCATAGATGACATCTAGAAAATTACATCATTGCTCATGGGAGTTACAAGTTATAATGCTATTTGAAGTTACCAGTCATTATGCTCTTGAGCGTTGCCGGTTATTATTGTCATCATTGACATCTTCTTATTGTTGGGTCATTCGGCGATATAGCCAATCGGTCTCTGCTATTATCGACATTTTTTGTACATACAGTATAACCAACTCACTTTTTATCATGCTTTGTACTTTTTCTTTTCTTTTAGCTTTTTTTTCCTTTTTGGGTAATCCAAAACCACTCAAAACCAACATTTAAAAGAAGCAACTCTCTCTAATATAGGGTGTGGGTTCTCTCTTATACACCCAAAATTATTTCACACATAAAAAATATTAATATTTTATCTTTAAAAAGGTGGGCATTAGATTTTATGTATGTATTTAAAAAATAAAATTTAGCCATTAGGTGAGTAAATATATTAGAATTTAATGGCATGCAAAAGGTAGTCAAATAGAATAATCATATTATATTAAAAAAATTATGAGCATAATTTCTCATTTTAAAGATTTATATACATACCGTTCTATGAATTTGCAGATCCAACACCTAAATTTCAATTTCTTACATTCATCTATATTAAAAGTAAAAAGTGTAGAGTTTTTTAATGTGATATTAAGGATTTAAGCAGTATAAAGGAAAAAAAAAGTGTAGTTTAGTTATTAGAAAAGTGAAGACAAAGATATTAAACGTTATGTATGTAAATGCTCATTTTATAAACCCGGTCAACACTCAACTTCTATTATTGTTGGTTGTCATAAGCTTCTTGATAAATTACATGCTTGGATCATGGTTGGGAACATAAATCTTATTATGTTGTTAGCAAACCGCAACTAATCAAAAATACCATTAGGAACAACCTGCATTGCTAGTGTAGAACCTCTGCCTCACTCAAACGTTTCAGGAATAAAATTACATCAATGTTTAATAATTTTCTTCATCATCATAATGGTGTTATTAAATTTTTGTTTGCAACTGCTGGAGGAAGCTCATTTTACTTAAATCTCAAGGCGGCCTTCATATTCCTAGCCTTTTCAGCAAATCATAAAATCCTTGCCAAGATGCTTAGCAAAAAGAATGCTTAGAGCATTGATATTTACATTTAGCTACTTTTGAATTTGGTTATAATAATAGTAATATTTCAAAAGTTATAAACCAATATTATTTAAGATAGTATATAGTTCTAATCCCAACAGATTTTATAGCTAATGTTACTTTACACATTTCTTCAGATTTAACATTCACATTTCTTAATAAATTTATTGATTTTCATGAAAAAATTGGGAAGTAATTTAGGGGTTTGTTTAGGGCAGCTGCAGCTAATTGATAATTTGTTTTTTACAGTTTGAAAACAGTTGTGTTATTGAGTTTATTGATTTGATGAATCAGTTATTAATTTTTATTTACTATAATATATTTAAAGTTAAGTTTATTTTTTATTTACTTAAACAAACTAATAATAACAAAATGTATCCTTAATTAAATTAAATTTAAAACTAGTCTGGAACAAGCTATAGTTATTTTATTATGATCAACCTTTAGTTGAATCTTAATTGGCATGATAATTTAGACATAACTGAGATTTCATTAAACCTTGCTGATGATAAATAATTTATACACGTTGAATTAAATGTTAATCAATTCATCTATATTTTTTTAAAAATTTTTTTCTCGATGAACTGAATGATAATTTATAGTTCACACAAGTACAAATCAATCTAAATTCAAACCAATTTTGAAATGATTAGATTTCAAGAAGCAATCAATGAATGTAGTATGCTCTCTCATTATGGGTCTGTTCACGGCAGCGATGCGACACCACACCAAAGTTTTTGTTTATTTGGATAATATGAGTTTTGACAGTTTTTTAAAAAACTGCCGCCAAAATCTTTGTTTTTCTACCGGTCCTGATAAAGTGTTGTGGCAGCTTTCTAACTACGATCTTACTTTAAGAAAACAAAATTGTAATAGCCGTCACTGTTTTTTTGAATATCATATTAATTTTCAGTAACTTTATAGCTACTTTTTAATGAGCTACCCCTAGCAGACCCTGAGTTAATATTATTAAAAAAAATTAAAGAATATCCTTAAGAGGCATACAAAGTCAAATTTGGCTAATGAATCCTAAGAGAAAAAATGTCTACCAAAATAAGGGCATTTACATACAAACCATCCAAATTATATATATTTAGGTCTCTAACATCTAAAGTTTACATTTTCATTTATAACAACAAATTTTCTTATATCATATAAACACTATTATTATTTTAACCCTTAAAAAATGAAATACATATTTTTCATATATATTAAAGTTTAGATGTATATATATTATATGAAATTTCCATAAAAGTCTTAACTTTCAAATAGCTAGGAGCTCCATGTGATGGTTGATCTCTTTCCATGCCGTGGTCAATTATCCGACGTCCGCTACTTTATCTCAGGACTGCAAACACCTTTGCTACCCCCCAAAGGTCTCGTAGTCGTGGTTGTATGACAACACATGAGTTTTAAATGGATTTAGTAAATCCTATAAATTCAATTTTAATAAATCTCACTTGATTAAGGGTCCGTTTGGGATAACATATTTGGTGCGGTAACGTTTTGAAAACGCATCTGACCTGTTTGAGTGAACTGTATTTTGACAGCTTATGCGTTTTAAAAACGCTAAAAGTAACGTTTTTAGACTGTATCTATCTAAGTACGGTGACAACTTTCTTGCAACGGTCTGATTTTTCAAAAAAAAAAAAATATAATTGTCGCCGCACCTAGTTTATAAGTTACTTATTTTTAATCAACTTATCAACTGATTATTCAAAAAACTGCAGTTGCTCCAAAGAGATCCTAAATCTCATAGGCTATTTGTCAACGAATTTAATACATCTAGTTAAATACTGTCGAACTCTTTCACAACTTTTGCTAGGATTTAGAAAATGGTTAGTTTTATTATAAGAAAAAAATACAATTAAATTTTGATTATTTTATCATTATAATTAAAACAAATTATCTAAATAATTCTATATTAACAAAATTAATCAAATATTAATTAAAAAAATTATGATTTTCATGATAATATTAATGATGTTATGATATTATTACCGCCGATGCATCAATATCTAATAATAATTTCTCCTACCCGAAAACCCTCGCCTATGTCCCTCCCGTTCCCCCTGTTTGGCCCAAACCATCGCCTTGGCGGGCGAGCCCTCGCGATACAGCCGCCAGTAAAGCTAGCTGAGAAGGCAACGAGGGGATCGCGGCGTAAGAGACCACCAAAACTCCATCTTTCTCCTCGTTCCGCTCGGCTCCTTCCCGAAACCATTGAGGAAGGTTAGTGTGTTCGCGCCTTTCTTTCTTTTCGCTCTTCCTGGATTTATTAAATCGTCCAATTCACGGGATTCAGTAAATCCAGAATTAAGGCCGACATCCGTGAAATCCGGATTTATCAAATCGCTGCTTTATTTTGTCCAGAATCACCGCCTGGTAAATCTAGGCTAAATTCTGCTCTAAATTCGTTACCAGACCGGCCCCTAAGCACTCAATTCGATGCCGACCGTGAGCGTCGGCAGAGATCGTCTCTTTCAGGCTATTGGCCGAAGCTACAGTAAGCAATGTGATGTTTTCTCTCTTTCTTCTTGTGGTTTTATTTACTAATTGAGAGCTCTCGTGTTCCAGCTCAAGAAGAATTTGAGGAGCTCTGCTTCGAGTTTGGGATAGAGCTTGACGATGTGGTAAGTTGCAAAATGCTATTGCTTGGATTACTTTTCTCTCTCTCGCATGAATTTTTCGTTTTTTGAGAAACCCTAACTATTTTGTTTCACATTTTTTGAATTTATAGACTACTGAGAAGGAAATTATTAGAAAAGAAAAGCATCTGGACGCAGCAGCCGGGGCAGAGGGGGATGATGAAGTCATATACAAAATTGAGGTTGCTGCTAATAGGTAACTCAGTCAGCAATGTTGTGAAGTATGCTTCTTATGCAATTCAATTTAGATAAATTGTTTTACGTCAATGGTTTAGTTATGCATTTTCTTTTATTGTGCTGTGGATGACTGATCGATCTAGACATCGATTAGTCTATTCAAACACGCACGGAAAATAAGCTCTGGAGTTTAATTTTGTACTTCATAGCTCTCGGTGCTGATTTCGGCACTCAAACTCTAACAAACATTGATTTTGGCATCCATATGCTTGCAGATATGATCTTCTTTGTCTCGAAGGCATTGCCAGGTCTCTTCGCATATTCATTGGGAAAGAGAAAATCCCTATGTATAGATTCCGTGAAATCCCCCGTGAATCGATACTTCAAATTAATGTTACCAAGGAGGTAAGTTTTATGTGCCAACCATTTTACAATTTCTCCGATCAATGCAAGGTTGATATTTTACCCAAACTAGTGGCATTTAGGTGACCATGGAGGTGACCTAATTATTGCTTGATGCTTTCCCTTTGTAACCAAAATAGAAAATGAAAGCAACCTCTTTAGAGAATATCTCACCTTATTGATCTAGTGTAGATATTCTAACTATGAAATGGCCTGTTCAACAGACTGATAAGATCCGTCCTTATGTTGTTGGTGCTGTTTTAAGAGGAATAAGTTTTGATAGAGCAAACTATAACAGCTTCATTGACTTGCAAGATAAGCTTCACCAAAATATTTGCCGGTATGACGGTAGATTGCATGATTTTACTATCTATTTACCATTTGTTGTTCAAGTATTTCCTGATTTTGTATTGTTTCAGTGATCTTACTTATTCAACATATTTACTTTGTTTGTTTCTGTATCTTGTTTATAGTAAAAGAACTCTTGTTGCCATTGGCACTCATGATTTGGACACGATTGAGGCCCCCTTTTCCTACAACGTAAGTATTCTATTCTGTTTGAACTTGGTTTTACCATATTGCATTTCTTCACAAGTTGTTACCATATTGCATTTCTTCACAAGTTGTATTAAATTTCATGTATAATGCATGCATGTATCAAATATTGGTATATTTAGGGATTTGCGTAATCAACTAGACTAATGTATAATTTTAAATTTGATCATATCTGTCAAATTGCGTAATCTTTTGTTTCATTTGGTTAATTTTGATAGCAATGATAGCAAGGAGGTAAAACTTATAAATAGATGGTGTTAATAGACCGAGGCCCTGTTATAAAACGTTTTTAGTGAAGTATCTCTTCCTGCATACCGTACATGCAAAATTGCAATACTTTGTTATTGTTTTGATCGATGTCCTTTCTCATTGGCTTGTTCAATCTAATATCTAAAACAGGACTCAAAGAAATTTATAGGTCTTAAAAAATCACATCCTTTTCTTTCTCAGCAACAGGAGTCTAAAGTATAGCATTGCTTTGTGAATTGAAGCTGAAGTTTGTTTTCTTTAGGTTTAGGAGATGAATTGATCTATGATAAATTTGTTAGAATGACGAGCAGATCCTCATTACAGAATGTAGTAATTGTTATATATTTAACTTCATTATTTTTTTTCGATATACTTCCTTCTCACTTTCTGATCATTTTCTATTACGTTTGCTAGTTTTTGAAGTCTTGGGCATTGATCTGATGGTCGTGTTAGCTGCATGTTTTTTTTCAGCTTCAGTTTTAGTGAATCCATGCTACCTTAGATATAACACATGAGCCCTTAATCTTACATGGCACAATTTTAATTTTATTTTCCAATTTTATTACTAAGAGATCACTTATATTTTGAAGATTTGATTTGCCGAATGGAAGTTATTTTGAATCGAGTCTTATTTGTGCATTCATGTCTTTTCAGGCTTTGAAACCTCAAGATATATCTTTCATCCCCTTAAAACAGGTTAGATATATATATATATATATATATATATAATTTCTGCAGTATCATGTAAGTTTATACATTGGCCTCCTTTGAATTTCTTTATTGAGACCGTCTAATCAATTTTTAACTTGCTGCTATTATGATTTATTTTTTCTTGTCCAGACAATTCTTTTTTTTTTTTTCGTTAATTTTTTTCATCACTAATCTTATGCATTCTATTTTGTGCTTGCTTGGTGTTCTCTTCTCTGATCATCCATTGGTATTTGTAGACGGTTAACTTTAGACTAACATGTTGTGAGGGATTATGATTTTTGATTTGTGTGGAGTCCTTGAAGGCATTATAGGTAATTATTAAGGGCCTGTTTGGGGCAGTGGTAGAGGTGTGGCGTATTCTACATTGGTTTGCTTATGCATCTGACAAAATTGCATTTTATCTGCTTTTTCAAGAAGCTGTGGTGTAAAAGCTGCGTTTTACAACCTGATATGGCTAATTGCAGTGTTTGAAAGAAAGTTGCGGTCAGATTTTTTGAAAAAAAAAATGTAACAGTTACCAGAACTTTTTGGTCAACTTTTTCTACAACTTCACAGCTATAGCTGACCTAAACAGATCCAAAGTCCCCTGTTATGTTGAATTTTTTGATCCCATAGAAAGCCGTCTATATATACTCCAACCGAGACACTTTGATTAGCAATTCGTAGAGCTACTTGCTTGTTGACTTCGAGGAAGAGGGATGAGTTATCCATCCATCACTTCACTTGGAGATATTTCTATTATGACTCAATCAAGGAGATCAGCTTATTAAAAGCGTGAACGGACAGTTAGACAAAAAAATGGAGTTATTTTTTTCTATAGAGCTTCACAATACAACAACAACAAAGCCTTAATCCCACTACGTAACTACGTAGGGTTGGCTACATGAATCCATTTTCTCCATTGCGTCCTATTTAGTGTCATATTTTCATCTAGTTCTAGTAAATTAAGATCATTTTTTATACAACAACAACAAAAATAGAGCTTCACAATATTTAAAATAAATTTTTTTAAAAAATAAGTTTTCTAATTTTATAAAAATGCCACTAAATATATGATTTTTAATATATAAGAACTTGTTCATTTACATGAATTTTTTTTTATAATGTTACATTTGACATATATTTAACCATCTAATACACACACGAAGGGGGAGTGTCTAAAACTATATTTTACATCTACAAAATTACACATATTTAACCAATTGTACACCAAATCCCTTCCATCGCCCATTTACTCTATATGGTACTTGAAAAATATTTATTAACCAATGGGTTGAGTTTTATGAATAAGTTAATATGTAAATCGCCGTTTTACACAACATCAACTCAAAGGAAAAAAAGTATGCTAGTCTTGATAGTTGAACTGTCTAAATGTTGCGATCATAGTTATGGATAAGAATTTCTTTATGGCATTCAACTTTATCTTAATAACATGAACACAAACTAAAGCATATGATATCATAACTTATCCCTTAAGGTAAATATTTAATATATTTATAACAGGAGAACCATTTAAACATTTTATCAATGTAGTGGGGCATAGCTCTTAAGTTTACTATTGTCATGAGCATAAATTTGAAAGTCATTAGTACATGGGTATTTTATCATATTCAACTAGTACTATAAGAGGGTAACTTTTTCATATTAAAATATTATTATATTATGACTGAAATAATTGATCATGTAACATCTTGGATCAGTTGTGATCAATTGATTTTCTATAATAATTGAACGCGCTAAAAATTTTAATAAGTACATGATTTTTTATCTAAGATTAAAAGTTCAATTTGGGCTTGATTTTTTATTTAAAACAAGTAAATAAGCTGAAAATTCAAATAATTGTTTTTTTATATAAAATTACTAATAAATAATTTTGTAAATCTCAATAAACAAGCGATTGAATAAATTTCAAATTAACATCTGACTAGTTTATACCAAATTAATAAAATAGTATATAAGTTATAAGTAACGTTTTTTACAATCATATTATATTAATAAGTATTAACAAACAAGCTCATTGAAATAAAAAATAAGAAGAAATTACATTAAAATTATATACATATTGATATTAAATTATAAAAATTATTGTTGAATATGTAATTAAATAAACTCTAGTTAATTAAATATTCATTAAACAATATAGCATATTTGTTCGGGAACATTAATAAACGAGTTGGACTATGCTCATATTGATTTATTTAACCTTCGAGTTTAAAAAAAAAATGTTTGAACTTTTTTGTTTACTAATTTGAACAAACTTTATCAAGTATTAATCTAGCGGTGTTCAAGATGTTCATCAAGGTATTGGGTTAGCCCCATCAATAGGACACAATGGAGAAAAATGATTCATTTAGTCTACCCCACTTAATGGGATAAAGGCTTGTTGTTGTAGAGCTTTCCTGCTAGAGCAAATGCTCAGGATTTTTTCTTTTAAGTCATGACAAAATTAGAGGACAGCCATTAGTTTCCTTGCAACAAATTTTTTTTTTGTTATTTCGCTTGCGAAATATGATTTGGGAGCTCCCCGATCACGGATCGCAAAATCCCACAAAATTGTGGAACCGCTGAAGCGGAATTTCCTGCGATCCTGCACTGTCCAATTAACAGATTATGCATGAATCCTCGCTTTTTTTGTCTTATTTCCTATTTCTTTTTCTCATTCTCATTTTGGTTATTCTTTATTTGAACCTATTTATGTGTTGCTTTTTCTGTTTGGAGAACTTTTGCTAGTGCTGTTGTGTTTGGAGACTTTGATCTTTGTTTTATGTTCTCTGGAGTGCTCTATTCTCTTTCTTTTGCAAGTAGTGCGTTATTATCTTACTCAGGAATGGGTCTTGGATCCCCCTCACAGCCCATACTTCGCCGTTTCACCATTCGACCGCTGTTTTCAGTCTGGACACAACAGCAGACTTCGTCACTTTTTCCTTCCAAATGCGTGAACCTCTCATATGCTCCTTCCCTTGCTATCCCACAATCACCTCCCCACTCAGTCCACTTCATAAACACCTTCTAAGAGCCCTAGAATAGTATCAATAGCCATTAGTTTTATTGCAGCAATTTTTTTTTTTCTTTTTTGTGGTCTCACTTGCGAAATTTGAACTACCACTTCAGAAGAGTGAAGTTTTGGATTTTCCAAAATCAAAAGCTAGGTTGGGATGGGGATCCTTTTTTGGCAGCACATGCAATGTTTAATTGTGGTTGATGTTGGTTTTTTCTATTCGTGATTGTTAGGTGTAAGACTGTAAGTTACCATTGTTGTGATGGTTATTATTTGGTAGTTGATTTGACATTTTCCTTATCTTACTGTTTTGTTTCTCTAGGCTAAAAGCTTCAGGGGTGATGAACTACTGGAGTTTTACAGGGTATGCTGTCAAATCACTATAATATTCATGAACTGATTTGTTTTTATTTGACTGTGGAACACCTTTTAAACACATCTACCTTCGATTTTCTGATAATTAATTGACCAGTAGTAAGAATTTTTGTCATGCTGTTGCAACATGATTGGCTTTGTTTTTTTGTTTTCTTTTTACTTTTAGCTTTTTTTTCTTTCGCAGTCGGACTTGAAACTGAAGAAGTTTTTGCACATTATAGAAAATTCTCCAGTGTTTCCTGTCATATATGACAAGAATAGGTAATGCATCTGCATGCTTTAAAATTTGGTTTCTCTGTGAGCGGATTCAAAGGACTTAAATTTTATTCCCATTTTTTTAATCCGTGTATATCCAGAGATGTTCCCTTTCTATTATTTGTTCTATCTATTTTCTTGAACGTATAGGTGCTCACACGAACATGTAAATATTTTATAAACTTTTTAAATACTGCAATCTACTCCCGCATATACTTACTGATGCCAATTGGCATGTATGATAATCTACATGTCCTTCGGAGCTATGTCAAATTGTGTTTTCCAGTTTTAACATTTTTAGTTTTTCTTCTCTTAAAATGCTCTGTTGAGATTGCAGGACTGTTCTATCACTGCCCCCAATTATCAACGGCGCACATTCTGCAATCTCTCTTAGTACAAAAAATGTCTTCATTGAGTGCACAGCAACCGATTTAACGAAGGCAAAGATTGTTTTGAATACGATGGTATGCTCTAATTTTGGTGAAGTTAATCATTTGTTGATTTACTTGTCATCATTATCAGTTATTGAATATCGTAAAATGTCATTATTTTTCCTATGTTTTCTTAGGTAACAATGTTTTCAGAATATTGTGATTCAAAATTTGAGGTTGAGCCAGTTGAAGTGGTATATCCGGATGCCCGGCAAGTTGAGGATTGTGCATCAGAAGGGGTTTTCAAAGGGAAGAACATTTATCCAGATCTTGGAGTTACAGTTATGGACATCCCTCTTTCTTCAATTACATGCCCCATTGGCATTTCACTGGGAGTAGCTGAGGTATTTTTTTCACGCTTTTTTGATCTTAATTATATTAATCATTATATCACTAAATTTTTTTTTGACATTTCATGAATCCTAGAGCCACTGATGCTAGAAAGAGTCTTTTTTCGATTCCTATTTGGATTCATTTGTTTGTTGCTTTGCCAGTTTTTTTAACTTGACATACATTAGTTGTTTCCTGAATTTTTAATTAGTAAACGGTTAACTTTGTTATTCAAAGAATGTGAAGTTTTCTTTTAAAACATTGTCATTGCAAATTAAAAGTTATGATGTTTAGTAAAACCTTGTCAACTAGTATTTTAGTCAACAAAAGACAGTTGGCAGGGTTATTAACATGCAAGTGTAAACGAAGGACTTACTCTTGCATGGTGAACAAGTGGAGTTGAAATTTAAGGGTGTCAAAAATTTACCGCACATGCCAACTAGACTCGAGTAATCCGGGTTCAGGTAGACCTGAATAATTTTTGTGTTATGTTTGGGTTAAGAATTTTAGCATGTTTAATTTTCTTTTGGGTCGTTTGAGTTGATTCGACAACTAAAAATTGACCTGAGGTTGACTTAAAATTGATCGAAATTTGATTTAGTTTTTTACCAACATTGCCTTATATTATACGGTTTAGGTTCGGGTTAGTGGGTTGAAAATGGGTTGAGTTCGGGTTAGACTTGTCGGCCTATTTACTATTCAAGTTAGGTTCAGGTTAAGCTTCTTCTGTTCGAGTCAATTTTTGGTCAGATTCGAACCCGACCTGTGAATTCGATTTGGCACCCCAACTATGAATTTTATTGATGGTACATGATGCATATTTGATTCAAGTTATACAGGAATGAACGCTTTACTAAGAATCTCAAGTGAGTGTTTTTCCACTTTGTGCCTAATTTGATGCATCATGACTCTAGTTTATGCTAATCCATGCATGTAAACTCTAAATGGCGTTATATACTATAAGAAATGCTTAGATACAGAATTAAAGCATCAAATATATATTAAGAGAGCAAATATGATTTTTTTTTCTTCATGCTATAAATGCAAAAAATGAGCTGAAAATATCTATACTATTGTATTTCTTTGAAGTATTTGAAATAAAAATAATCTTGATTATGTGGATAAATTGTGGACAACTCCTAATTTACAACAACCTAACAATTCTTGGACAACAACTTTTTATTTTAAAAAAATTATCACTGATGGACAATAGTGATATAATTAAGTATTCTAGCAATTTGTAGACAATAACATTATATTCTTGTCTGGATTTTATAATTGAAGACTATTTCTTAGATACATTTTTTTCTAGATAATTGTTTCTTTATCGAGAATTAAATGAAAATATGACACTCAATTGGACGCAATGGAGAAAAAGGATTCATGTTGCCGGCGTTACTTAGTGGGAAAAAGGCTTGTTGTTTTTGTTGTTGTTGTAATTGTTTTTTCATCTATTTGTGCACAACTTCTTATCATGTTTAGACGCAAAACAAGGGAATATGATTAGTCATGAAATCTTTCATTCTCTTACCCTTGGTTTTTTACATTTCTTATTTTAAAGGTAGCATCAGAGCCATTAACGTGTTACACTAATGCGGCCAACATAACTTTCAACTTGGATTCTTTACTCCAAGATGATGGGTTATACATTAACATTGAAAGTCGATATTCATCCAACCAGAATGGAAAAAGATATATAAGAAGGTTGTTCCTCATGGAAAGAACATGGTGGCAGCTGCCTTGAAGAAGCCAGTGGTGAAGACGCTGATAACTTGGACATTGAAAATCAATACAACAACAACAAGCTTTATTCCCGCTATGTGGGGTCGGTTATAGGAATTCTTTTTCTCCATTGTGTCCTATCTCCATTGTGTCTATTGAGTGTCATATTTTCACTTAATTCTAATAAATTTAGATCATTTTTTATACAACATGCTCAAGTCTTTTTAGGTCTACCTCTACAATCTCAAAATGAACAATACCAAAACAAAACATGGAAAACTAATGGCGAAGTACTGGTTTGGAATATCCCAAAGAGAACGAATAATAAGGACAAATTGTAGCAACAATCTCTTTCATATTTCAACTACTTGGATAACAAATGGAAGGCAGTCAATTATATTTCCAACAAATGTTTATTTTAGAGTATCTTCAAATTAAGCTTGGTTGTTCTAAAAGTTAAATTCTTAGACACCTTTATTGCAAATAAAAATAAAATCTAACTCAAGGGGTTGGATAAACCATAGATTAAGGCGTCACTATGCATTTTAAGGCCTAGAAGTCTAACTCAGGATCAATGCCTAAAGTGTGATTCGTGAGCACTAGGGTCATCTTGGGTAAATTGGGCAAACATTGTTCAAGTTATGGTCAACTTGGAGTAGTCTTAATAAATAATGAAGAAAGTTTATTACCTTTTAAAGGTTAAAATGGGTTTGTCTAGGGTTAGACCCAAACTAGGTTAGCTTCCCCTTTAAGGTCACCTAGAATGAGAGCAATCCTCTGAGATGGCTGTAAACACTTGGGAGTAATATTTTTAAATTGTTAATTTAAATTAATTTTAATTAGTAAAATATCTTTAAAATGAGAGCCTTAAATGCTTCTTAGTGTTGACCCATAGTTTATTAAATTTGAAATTTAAACCATAAGCTCTTCTAATCTAAACACACTCATTCATCGACGTTAGAGTTGTTGGCCAGTAGATTAAGAAGGTGGTAAAAAACACTTGGAACCAATTTTATGATATTATTAAATTTTAATTATAATTAACTGAAAATCTCTAAAATGAACGCCTTAAATGTTCATCAGGGCTGACTTGTGGTTCAATAAATTTGCAATTTAAACCATGTGCTTTCCTACACCAAGGAAGCTTAAACACCATTTTTTTGTTTTTTTGTTTTTTTTGATTTTTTAGCAATTGATCTAGGAAGAATGGTTATTTTAGGTTTTTAAAATAAGTATCAGAGTTTGTTGATTCCTCCACAAGTATTGTCCGTGATGCCTTCTTGAATGGGAATTATTTTTCATAGGCATCTTTGCTCATTTGCCAAATATCTGCATTCTTTACTATTGTCTTTATTTAATTGCTATGTTTTATCGATCAAGGCATCTATCAATATTTTTGTTTTGATCTTGTAGTTAAATAGCTTCTGAAATTTAATGGCTTGCCGGCCACTTGCTATCCTTTAGGGTAATCTTTGCAATCAAATCACCTCCATTGTCATATAGGGGGAAGCGGGTCTCTTGTCGTGAATGAATAAGAAAACAACTGCTAAACACTTATATTTGATTTTCTGTTTATTCTAGAGTTTATGACAATTCAAAATCGCAAAATGGCAGCTCCATTTGTCAAATAGAACAATGATGGGCAGAATATATGAAATCATGGTTTCGACTACGTTCAATTTATATGGGAAACTTTTTATCTGACAAGATGTTCAGCCTTGGAGGGAACTAAATATGCAATTATAGAATCACTGAAAACATTGTTCTGTTTATTGTACTGTCAACAGTCGTAATGCCTTCAATAACTTGAGTAATATCTGTGAATAAAGTGTCCGTGTGTGATGGAGAGCCAAATAAAACCACAGTTTTAGGTCTAATGCACAGAAAAAAAGGAAAAAAAAATTAAGAAAAGAAAATGTTTGTAGGTTTACAATGGATAAGCTTGCTTTGCTATATCAAATTTGTTGACTTCAAATATTTTGATGGCTTATTTGGCTATATCAAATTATTATTATTATTGTTCCTATGATATTCTTCCTTTTCCTTAATTTTGTTGACTTTATGTTCCTTCTTATTTTTGGCATTATTCATTTATGTTCTATGTTCTGCTCTCCTTATTTTTTTTCTGGGCGCTGCTGGATAGTTAGCTTTAGAATCTTGCTTCGGAGTGTTATGCTTGCTCACAAATTTTTGTCCCGCCAATTTAATTTAGATATACCGTTATTTCTTCTGCTAATGTCAGGTGATTCCCTTGTTGAATAAAATGCAATTACATGCTAAGGACAAGTTGGTTAATGGAAACTCTGTTATTACAGTACATGTTCCTCCAACTAGAAGTGATATACTTCATCCTTGTGATGTCATGGAGGTATAATAATAATTACTGATATTTACATTTTGAGAAATTTCTTGTGAAGTACACGGCTTCTTAAAGAAATCACTAATTTTTAAAATTCTTTTATAGGATGTTGCTATAGCATATGGATATAATAAAATTCCAAAAACAAAGCCTACATGCATGACCACAGGTGGCCAGCAACCATTAAATGTTTTTTCTGACAAGCTCCGAGGAGAGGTACTTAATTAAACTAATGCTTTGGTCTACATTTAGTTTTTTTTTTCCCATGTTAATCCATCCTTGATAGAATCTAAATCCTAACAATATGAATTGCATTGATTATTTATGGTATTTTTTGTAAAGTGTGGCCTGTTGGAAGCAACAATCTAGGTAGTGGGTCGTTGGCATTTGCAAAGTAATAAAGCACAAGACGATCATTGAACAAGTTTGAAAACAGCCTCAAAAAATAGATCACCTATAGGGTTCAATTTTTTTTACAGGCATACATATACTTTATCAATGTTTTGCTAAAACTTGAGCCATGCACCATGTGTTTGAAATTGTGTTGTTTATTTTTTAAAGTCTTCTTTCTTCCCCCAAAACTTACAATTATAATTCGGCATTTATTGACTAAGGTATACATGCTTGGTAATATAATTTGAGCATGCTTTATTTTCCAAGTTGTCTTAATGGATGAGCTACAGAGGTTCATCTAAATTTCAGACTTATATTTATAATTCTTCTCTTTCAAGAAATAATGTACTTTTTTATTTGTTTTCCTTTAAAATGTTGACATCATATGAGTATTCATATAAGCAATGAGGTTTTTTTTTTTTGCCAACATTTATGTTTTTGATAACATCTTCCTCCTACAACCAGAAAAATACCGAAAACTGGAACTTTGAAAGGTCATTGAACTTTGGTTCTTGTTACCATGCAAATTAAATTGGCTTAAGTGGTCATAGTACATCTAAAATCTCCTTAATTAAGCCACTTTATTGGGAACAAGCTGCACTAAATAACACATGGCTTTTGAGCAGTGTCTAGATTTTTTTCAAAAAATTGTCATCTTGCTCTTATCTTGAAATGTTCTTAAAATTATGTATGAGGGGGAAAATGCATATGGCGTACAAGAGATGAAAAAAAAAGAGAACAAAGCCTGTTGTGTTTTGAACATTTAATAGCAAGATTTTAACATATGTGATTATGCCGTGTTGCACTTTTACCTGAGTCCCCTTTTCGAAAATATGAAGCTTGACAAAGTTCAGTTCTTGTTTCTAATTGCTTCTTCCGAAACTTCTTTTTTATTGTTCAATATTTCATTAAATAACTTTTTGGGATATAGGAAACATTTCATTTAGGTTATATATTGGCAGACATTTTTTATTGTAAAGACGTTATAGAGCTCAATTTCCACTCATGGAAACTTGAAAATGTTTTGGTGTGAAGCTAAGCCGTGATTCAATATCATTGTTTAATGGGGTATAAAAGAGACATGATTGAACTCATAATTAAGTATTGAAGTAAATTTTGTCTCGTACTTTCCTAATGAATGCACGAAATTTAAAAGTTAGACAAAGATATTGGACGGAGAGAAAGGTCGATTTTTATTTGTCATTATTATTTAATATATGCAAGGCAAATTCTGGGAAGGTTTATGCTTTTTTCAATTTGACTTTCCTTTTTTAGGTCTCAAGGGCAGGGTATATGGAGGTTCTAACCTGGCTTTTGTGCTCACATGAAGAAAACTTTGCAATGGTTAAAAGAGAAGACGATGGAGAGAAAGCAATCACCATTGGAAATCCCCGTTCATCAGAATTTGAGGTTTATTTACTATATTAACAATGAAATTTGGTTGTTGTTCCCATTTTTGACTTATTTATTTATTTATTTTTTTCAATTTTATTAATTTTGCATAAAATGAGTTAATGCTTTCTAGCTAGCTTTTTTCAGAACTTAGTAAGTATTCCTCTCATTTTGTGCTGTATTTAATATTGTATGCCAAACCTTTATTAATTACTAATGTTCATAGTGCATGTATGTAAAATATCAACTTAGGTTCCTGACATTCAAGCCGCATTTCTTGTAGGTCCTCATTTTTTAAACTCTAATCTTAGATTTGCAGTGCCTTTTTCGATTTCAGTATAGTTCGCTTACTCTCTATATTGGTTCATAAATGAAATTTAATCTTCAAAAAAATCCATGTTAACAGGTGCTTGTCTTCTTCCAGGATATGGATTCTTCTCTAGGGATCTATCCAAACTGTAATGATCTAAATTGGAGTATAACGTTTCCATAGATCTTACATAGTTCATTTTATAGAAAATTTATATAAATTCTTTTGGTTGCATGATATTTCTTTGTTTAACCAAATTACTCCCATCTTTAAAATCTTTTCATCTCTTACTCAGTTAAAAGGATGCATTTCTTGACTCCTCAATGACCATCATCGGCTTTTTATTCAGTAAACTTTGGTTATTATTGATTGTTATCTTTGATGAAAATTTATGGCTTCGATTTTTTTTTTCTTTGGGTAAGAAGGTGTTGCCTTGGACACCTCTTTGAATTGAATTGATTTACAATAGGGTTTTGAAGAGCTCTCTTAATCTCAAAATCCAATTGCTTGGAAATGGTGCCTCAATGTTCCAAGCTCTAGTTTGAGCCTCTCACTCCAATGGTGTTGGAGAAGAAAAATATGAGACATGTAGGCGATATTGAGTAGAGGAGGTCAATGGGCTTTTGGCGGAAAGTCGGCTTATGGGATTGTCGAGGATGTTGAGAATACTAGACTGCATCAAAGTTAGAATGATGGCAAGAAGGGGGTGGTATTTACATAGAATCAAAAGAGAGAAAATAAAGGGAAAGTGTTCGTTTTCATATTTTTTGCACTTAATTGATGATTATGTTAAGAAAACTGTTCTACGTGAAGTATAACCAACACGACCAACAATGATTTGAGTGGTGGGTATTTAATGCACAAACCTATTGATATACTGGAGTTTAATGAGGGTTACATGTATTTTGTCACACCTTTATAAGAATACAGAGGATGCACAAAAGTGTGCAAATTATAGAGGAATTAAGTTAATGTGTCATATATTAAAATTATGGGAGAGAGAAATTGAACATGGGTTAAGACGATATACAAAGATTTTTCATAATTAATTTGAATTTATACCAGACAAGTCAACCATAGAAGTTATACATTTATTGAGAGGTTTGATGGAGAAATACATAGATAGTAAAGAGGCTCTATATATGATTTTTATTGATTTAGAAAAAGCTTACGATAAGATTTGAAGAGAAGTTATTTGTTGAGTTCTAGCAAAGAAAGGTGTTGATATGACTTATATTTAAGTCATTAAAAATATGTATATTAGAGCTGTTACTTGTGTTCGGATACAGGAAGGATTGATCAAGTATTTTGTTATTTCAATTGCATTAGATCAGGGATCGGCTTTAAGCCCGTATCCTTTTGCTTTAGTTTTGGATCCTCTTACTGGACATTTACAGGAGAATGTATCTTGTATCTTGGTGTATGGTTTTCGTTGTGATATCCTTCTTGTGGATAATACTTGTGAAGGTATACATTAGAGTCTAAAGACCTTCGTTTGAGTAGCTCTAAAATTGAATACATGGAATGTAATTTTAGTAGTAGTAGATCTAGTGGTGGAGTTGTAAATATGTGTGATTAAATGATAAAGAAGTGTGGACATTTTAGATATCTCGGGTCTATTGTTAAATGTGATAGTGATAGAGATGAGGATGTTATTAGTATAATTCAAGTTGGTTGGTTGAAATGGAGGAATGCATCGAGCCTATTGTGTGATAGAAAAATACCGCTTAGACTTGAAAGGAAAATTTTATAGGATGGTGGTGAGGCCTGCAATGCTTTATGGCGCAAACTGTTGGCCTTTAAAAGAGAAATATAAAACTAAGTGTTGTTGAGATGAGAATGCTTAGTTGGATGAGTGCTTTACACTTATAGACAAAATGCGACGCGAATGTATCCGTGAAAGGGTTGGTGTAGCTCCAGTTGTAGACAAGATTAGGGGGAGTCGTCTTAGATGGTTTGATCACAATAAACATCTATCATCTGATGATCTAGTCATGGGAGTAGATGTTTTAGATCCAATTTATGTTAAGAAAGGTAGAGGTAGACCTAAAATGACTTGGGCATATTGTATAAAAAATAATTTTGGTTTATTAGAATTAAATGAAAATATGACACTCAATAGGACATAATGGAGGAAAAGGATTCATGTAGCCAACCCCACTTAGTGAGATAAATACTTCTTGTTGTTGTTGTTGAGGGGGAGGGGGGTTGCCGGTTTTTAAGTTTTAGGGTTTTTTTGCAATTTTTGGCTGTGTTGTTTTTGGTCGCTACCGCAAGATCTTGTGGCTTCATCCAAGCATATAGGGGTTTTCGGCCAAGTCGCAGGCCATAGTAGACCATCTTTTTTCAGTGCTCCTATACCATGAAGATTCAACCAGCAATTGCCAGGAGCAGGAAAATTTGGTTGCAGCAATCCAAGATCTGTAAGTGTTTGGTTTAGATTGGGTTTCCAGCTGCTTGCCGATGCATGTGAACATAAGAAACAACTAAATGTCGTTTAGTTTAGTTGTCTTCCAATTCTTGTTTCTTATTATTTTTTGAACTCTTTCAAACTCTATGCTCTCAAAGAATGCTGCCAAGAAGGAATCACTAATGCCTTAGACATGAAGTTATGTAGTGGAATTTCAACGTGAAATTTGAAGTTGCAACAACTTTGGGTAAAAATCATTTGAGGGGCACTGCCCATGTGTTACTATGAGGGAGCCAAGAAGGTATTTGTGGGCTCCGAAAAAAGCAACTTCTGTGACAGCCATATTCTTCTTCTTCTTCTTTTTCTTTTTTGGTATTTTTAATTATGTTCTCATTCCTTGGAAGTATGCATATCTTCAGCTTTTTTACTTGTTGAAGTTTCTGCATTATTTTGTTCCATGGTATTATAAGCTTGTTACTTGCTTTTATTGGACAGAGTTTGATTAACTTTTAATATCGGCATTTGTGGGCTCCGAAAAAAGAAACTTCTGTGTCCGCTATATTCTTCTTCTTCTTCTTCTTCTTTGTTTTTTTTTTTGTATTTTTAATTATGTTCTCCTTCCTTGGAAGTATGCATGTCTTTCAGCTTTTTTACTTGTTGAATTTTCTGCATTATTTTGTTCCATGGAATTATGAGCTTGTTACTTGCTTTTATTGGACAGAGTTTGATGAACTTTTAATGTCTATTGTGTTGTTATTTCCTTTTCTGCTACTTATGCAAACCATAGAGAATGATACTTCTTGAATTTTGTCTATTGTGTTGTTCATTTCCTTTTCTGCTATTTATGCAAACATAGAGAATGTTACTCATCCTTGAATTTACTTGTTTATTACATTTCCTAAGGCATAAATGTATTGAATTGAAGCAGGTTGTTCGGACAAGTCTTATGCCAGGCTTGTTGAAAACCCTAAAGCATAACATAGACCATCGAAGGCCCATAAAGGTATCATATGATTATTACATGCTCATTTTATGCACAGTTATTTTTATTGTAATACGAACAAGTTTTGTTTTAATGAAGTTCCAAAATTGTGCCTTTCAATTTCTTGATGATTTATTATTGTTTCGTGGCTCGTTCATCTAACCCTATTGGGAGAAAGATGTCGTTTGGCTTTCAAAGCAGCCACCTAAAAGGTGACCAGTTGCCTTTGCGAATGTCTTACAATTGTATGAAAATGACACTTGAATTATCTTATATTTGGGTTAGCACATATCATATTTCAAACGATCCATGTTCGATCTGGAAATGACTCTTGTATTTAAATATTTACTTATTACTCAAAGCAAAATCATTAAGTGAATTTTGAATTGTCTTCCGAGTTTGGAGTTTTGATTTTGGAGTAAAATTAGAACATGAGGAGGATTGACCAAATATTTTTTTATTTCAGTTGGATTACATTAGTGATCGACTTTAAGCATTTATTTTTTTTGCTTTAGTTATGGATGAAATTAATGAAATCAAGAGGAGGATGTACCTTGGTGTGTTTTTCGCTGATGATATCTTCTTGTGGATAATATTAGAGAAAAAGTTCAGGATATACTTGAATTATGGAGGTATACATTAGTCTAAAGTCCTTTGTTTTAGTAGATCTAAAACTGATGTAATTTTAGTAGTATCAGATCTAGTTGCTGAGTTTTAACAATGGGTGATCAAATCATTAAAAGGAGTGAACGTTTTAGATATCTCGAGTCTATTGTTCAAAGTGATGGTGATATAGTTGGGGATGCTATTATTAGAATTCATGTTGGATGGTTGAAGTGGAGGAATGCATCAAGCCTATTGTGTGATAGAAAACTACTGCTTAGAATTAAAAGGAAAATTTTAATAACTTTCTTGTAAGTAGGGCAGCTCATGGGGTTTTCTATTTGAATAAATTTTATCATAAAAGACATTGGAAGCATATCAGTTATTTTATAAATTATTTTAGTAGTGTTTATGATTGAGTGGTCGGTCTATTGTTTGCGATGAAAATCCAGTTCATTTGGGAACATGAAGCTTTACTTTTATCTCGGTAACTTTTGGCTTGTTGTGAGTCGGATAAACACTATCATTGTTTGTAAAGGATTGGAATTGAGGATGGAGACTTGCAACTCTCTTAATCCACATGTGGCTTTTCTTAGTCTACATACCTTGTAATTGTTCAATTTTCGTCAAATCATAGTTGAAGGCTCTGGTAATTTTTTTTCCAGGTCCTTATGCAAAAAGACATTATTCTTATTGTATTGTTGAAGTTGCCAATTGAAGTGAGTAGTTACAGATTATAGGTTTCTATATTCTCATTTTTTGCCACATGGCAAATTCCTCCTCGTAAACAACTTAATGTAACCGAGAGTATTCGGTCTTGCTTTTGTATTTTTGAACAGTGTTATAGTGGTATTCTTCTGAGTGAAAACCCATTTGTAAACTATTATATTTTTTCGTTGAGGCTTATTGATAATCTTATATCATTTATTTTCTCTCTTAAAGCATTTCTCCATATTTGTCGTAGTAATATCTCAGATAAAATGTTTAGAATAAATATAATGTTTATACTCACAAGAAATTTTATGTGGAGTTTATAAAGTTGTTTAAAGAGCACATATGAAAGAAATGGGTATCATGACTGCTATGCAATTTTTGTTTTCTTCTCTATAGCAATAAGAAGATCAAGATCCCTTTTTGGTGGTATTACAGTTACTTGTATATACAAAGCATTATTAAAACTTATAATGATTCATTAAGAGGGCTGAAGATCTCATTTTTGAACTAAATCTCAAACTATAAATTTATTCCAGCTGTGGTGGAGTAATAGGAGCGGGCACTTGTTTTTTTGTTATAGGTATGAATTTAGTAGCAGAGACATTCTCGGTGGACTTTCTAATATTTTAGATAGATTGAACGGAAGGTAGTTTAAGAGTGCTAAATGTGGAGTGATCATATTCTTTATCTTCAATAATTGAAAACTCTCTCTAAAGATTAAGATTGTATGAATTGATTTATTTTCTGAAAAGGTGACATAAATAGATGGTTATACTTTTCTAATTGAATTATTTCGCTTGTACCTTTTTTGTGTAGAAGAATAGGTAAGAAATACATGCTTAATAGTTTTTTACTCCAATTTTTCTCTATTTTGTTTTTGGACATGAATAAAAGAAGTACTACCAGATATTTATGTTCTAACAAATAGTCTAATTTTTGAAGTTATTCATTGTGAATTTTATATTCCAATTATCTTAATGGTAGTTTATTTATTATATATGTGAGATTAAGTGCAGCTTCCCCCCAATTAGATAGAGACCTCTTAAAATAATAATTTGAGTGGTATCAAGTGACAATTTTTTTCTTTCAGCAACCCCATTTTGTTTGTGTATATGTACAAGATTATTTATTAGTAATGCCTTCCTTTTAGAACAAGGGAGTTAAAATTTGATTAGGGAATCTCTTGTACTGCTGGACCTAAAGTGTTTATTTTTTATCCTAAATTATTTTGAATCATGCAGTGAAATAAGTTGGCAATCAATCTTTTGAAGAGATGTAAACATTAAAAGGTGAATGAATAAATGATTTTTTTTTAAAGAATTGAGGAATGATCAAGAGAAATTATTCGTATTTTATTTCAAGTACTCGAGGCTTCTAGAGAACAGAGCTCATTATTTTCTCAAGCAAGTACTGAGGAACACAAGAAGGATGAACAATTACATAGCATATTTGATTTTTTTAAGGCTTTTGAATTGAAATAAGATTTACAACAATTCTGGTATGTGTCGGTCAACTTATTTTTCGATTGATTAATTATGAAAATATATGATATATGAAAATAATTTTTGAGATTTAATTTAAATATAAAAGATATATAGTTTGGGTTTTGAAAGCAGTATGTTTTAATTTTTGAAAAATGAGACCAAATTGATCTCATTAGTCTGATAGTTTGCAAAATCGTGCCTGATACCGCAAATACTACACCTTCCCGAGAGATAAGTGTAGACCTCAGCGATAGACCCAATCCTGCAAACTATGAGATTTGTGACATCCGTTTGGTCTGCGAACCTTTTATATATGACCGACAAATTCCCCTATTTAATACAAAGATTAAATAGGGTTTATTTTATCTGGGTTCCAAGTTCCCTATAGAGGCAAACCCCTATAGTTAATTACATCTCAAATGACGGGAGTCATTTGAGAAAACTCTCGATAATGATCAATGGTTCTAGTCTTCAAGAATTCAAGGTTCAGGTTTTCAAGGTAGGATG